TATTAGATAAAATAATCATAAAAACTATAAATATGGAAATAATCTCAACAGATCTCCCTTTGTCCATATTTCTAATTGGTAAATTTACTGCTTATGTTAATTCCTGGAAACAGTAAAAGGAAAAACCTGAAGCTTTTTGTCAGTCTCCAGAACTGTGTTAACCTGTAGCCTGCTATTTGCATCTTCCACACAAGACTTGCATCAATATTCAGTTGGTATGCTTGAAAATGCATGCCATTCTGACAAGTGATTGCCTGTAACAATGATAAACTGTTAAAATATAAAAATGCAATGACTTACAAAATAGCACCAGGTCTGGAAGATGACAAATGGAAGGACAACCAGGAAACATCCAATGAAGAGTGGAATGAGTGTATAGTTGAAGGTAAGGATCACTACTATCAGCAGAGACAGCTGCCCTGACTCTGTTGTTGCATTTCGAATCCTGAAAGAAATATCAATATCATTACTGCAAACAGTATCAACATAGCCTTTCAAGGTGTAAGCACATTTTCCATTAACAACCAAGCAAAAATAATAATGATGAATAAGATAAAACAAAGATATGAGTACATTTGAGTAATCAGAAAAATATTCATTGTCAATCTAACAAAAATCACTAACAGTATATATTAAAAATACACATACATTTGCATAATGAAAAAACATTTTTGAAAAATATTCACTTTTAAACATACAGCCTAGAGACTAATAAAAATCAGGAACGCCATATCACACAATTATCAATTTCGGGCAAAACAATGCTTAAACTACATAAAATTACTTACTTGTAGTAATAATTTGAACAATCTAGAAGCTTCCTGTAGAGGATGAATCCAATGTTGACAAGTCCATTTGATCTACCAGCAGAGGCGAGTCCAAAAGGCAATGCCGCAACTGAAGTACTTCTTCTTTCATTTGTTAATAATGCCGAAAATGTAAGGAATGCAAACAATCCTTCAGAGTATGGGGCTGTGAAAAATATGCTTGCAGGATTGATACAAAACAGCAGTGCTGCTCGGTATGCAAGTATCTCACTTTTCAGCACGACTAAACTCAATCTATGAAAAACAGCTGCAGTCTTGATAAATAAGTAGAAATTCAATAATACTGCAGAAATGAGTAAAATACTGTGATGGCTACATACAAACTGCAGAGGAATGCTGATGACATGTGCTAAGTATCGCACTGCCAGGGGAAATAGTGGGAAGAAAGCCAGAGTGTTTTCATGTGTATAACCGTACTGAGCAATGTGGAGAAAATACTGAGCATCCCAACGCACTAAACCACCTAAGAGGAACTGCACTATTTCATCCCCCCATGTGGACTTCACTTCTGGGTCTTGTGGGGAGACAAATGCATCTGCCTGGTGATCTGGGATAATCAGATTTGATACAATCTGTAAACAGAAAATATATATACTGCAATATCTGTGTTTGAGGGTATATATATATACAGTATGTATATTGTGTTCAATAAATCTATTGTATACGGACAGTACACATCATAAACAGTCCACTAGTAATTATATATAATGTACAGTCTAGTATGGAGAGAAAGAAAATACTGGTTAAGATTACTGTAAAAATTAGGTATAACTGAAATAGTAGTGACAATAGTAGCACAGGACTATAGCGAGGGACATTAAGAGAATGATTATTATTACCGAGAGCGACACAGAGAAAGAGGGAAATAGAGACTGCCATTTTATAGAGCCTAAGAAATTTAGTTAAAAACAACAAAGGTACAACTGTAGCAGATTCATATTTACTGCAAACTGACTAATGTTTGCTGCAGACCACTCAGACCAAGTCCACAACACCCACAGCCAGAGTTCTTAATGTTCATTTCCTTTTGGCATGAAGTACTAATAAATAGGGAACAGGGGGACTTTCATTAGGCAATTACTTGCCAAATGATGATATATTTATCTGGGGAATAAACAGAATGTAGGAAAGGTTAGATTTGAGTTTTTGGTTTCCATGATAGACTATTTTTTGGACTTTGTAGCTGAAAGATGTGTCACTCTCGGTAACATATACCAAGAGGACCACTATGAGCTGTGGTCATAATGTGACGATAGACACTACTGACTAGTCTATCGAGCTTGATTCACTCGAAACACGACGGGATTGGTAATCAGAAAACCGTAGCGTTCACCCGGAAATCCCTTTTATGCGTCATTCCTAAATTTACCTAGTTATCTACTCAATTCAGCATTATTGAACATCTCAAAATTATATATACTAGAAGTATATGGTTTGGAGTTCTTTATTGATTTCCTGAAGACATACCTGCAGTAGTAAAGTTACAAGTCGTGTATAAATGGCAAAATTGCGAACTTTCTCACTTATAGTGTAAGTACTCATGTTTAGGCTCTTCCAAGTGTAAGTTCCTATAGATTTTAGCAACAAAATCAGTTTTCTTATTTGCTGAGTTGTATAAACATTCGCTAGCTATTGCGTTACTGCAGCGGCGCGCCGATGCTACACCCTGAACCATCACAACAAAGTTGTATTACGAGGTTTAAGTTTTGATTATCTAAGTTTTTTAAATGACACTTTTTATCTTAAAACATTATTCATCGCATTTATTCTTTTCAATATTTGTGGATTTATAAAAGAAAATATCAGATAACCTGAATCTAATATATGCAATAATTCCAAATCTTACACCACTTTATGATACTGATCTAAAGGATCGCGTAGAGCGGTTACTTTACAAAGTTATAAATACAGACCTGAAGTTGCGAATCCAACAACTTCTTTATTTTTGAGTTACGGTTGGTCTAAAACCCTATGATAGAAGTTGCGGTTGAAGTATATAGAAGATAAGTTTCTTAGAATCATTCGCTCTTTCGTTTACATATATTATTTTTGGTCTAAAGGGCGGCTGTATGGAACTTGACCTGTACCTAATAGGCTTAAACATTAGTTATCAATACATATAGACCGATTCGGTGTGACGTCACGAGTCGAGTCGCCATTCCACTTGGTGAAAACAAACCCGTCGCTCACAGATACCTCGCTATCAATGTGAGGGAAAATGGAATATTGATTCTTTGATTCTTCAAAACCGAAGCGAAAAGGTGATATGCAGCAAAACTAGAAGCTGTGTAGCTAAAAGAGTACTCATACCGAAATCTGGATCGATGATCCTTCGAAATGACCTAAAATTGAATATTCTGACATCGACTATTCTATCAATAAAGCAGATGATAATAATAATTTTATAATAACATAATTTGCTACAGTAATGCATGACGTTTAGCTATATAGTGTATTTTTTCTGTGAAATCAGTGCCATTTCCTAACCACTTTTCTTCCCATTCACTAGGGTGTTTATACAAGGAGACAATGAAGTCACGTATAGGCCTAAAAGCCACAACGCATTTTTCTCTCTCCTCAATAAGCCTCTTCAGTTGTTTCTTCTGCTGGATCGTATGAGATCTCAGACAAAGGCAACAGGCATCTGTATACCTGCTTTGTTTTCATTTAATGGACAGTGCTTGAAGGTACTTGGCATAAAGTCTGGGTGAAGTGGGTCCGGGGATGGTTTGCTTGTAAATATAAATTATGATAAATCAATTTATTACAAAAAAAGGAATAAAAGAAAATAATAGAATTACTGTTGTGCTTTTTAGAATATATGGCTACTGCCAAAACCTAATGTCGACAATGTTGATCTTGTTTGGCCTTGATAGGTAGTGTAGATAGACGAGTTTGACAGTGTTTATCTGTCTCTGGAATTTGAAAAGGTGTAATATATTAATATGTAGATCAATAAATGTTCTGAGCAGATGTAAACATTTTCCACCAAATATATATATATATATATATTATATATATATATATAAATATATAATATATATGAGAAGGTTAAACCTTTCTTTCCCATCATGTTGTGGTTCGAACAACCAACGACAACACAGTTCCTTGGCATTTTCACGCAAAGAAACGAAATTCTAAAACAAATCAGCGACTCTATATGCAAAGCGCAGCGATTTTTCGAAGGAACGAGGGTTTGTTTTCACCAAGTGCTCGTTCCTAGGGGCGGTTGTTAGGCGTTACCGAATCGGTCTATACATACACACTACAAAGAATACACACAGACATACACAATTATATGAATGTGTGCGCGTGTGTGTGTGCGTACGAATGAAGCACGGTTATTAATATAAAAAGGACCAATAAAGACCGAGTTAAATGTACCCGTGGATTAAGCATGTCTTTAAACGTTGAGAGTTTACTGTTCCATCCATATTCATTAATGTGGATATGTACAATTCAGTATATATAGATAAATATTATAGATAGATATAGAGCTAGTCCTAACATTTTTTATTTTATCTATTTATGTTTTACAATACATTAGCCTGTGTGTAGAGATGCTTGTCTTTCTGTCCAAACACTTATTGGAGGTTCTAGTGGCAGTGCATCTGTTCTCATTCTGTGACTGACAAGGGAGATCAAATTCGGTGCCTTCAATAGGGCTCTTTCTAGGTCTGAGTTGTTGATTTCTCTTTCAGCGGGAGCAGGTATGGTCACTTCCCTACAAGACATCCACTAATTTCCTCAAGTTTTCTACTTCAAAATTTATTTCTGATAAGACAAAGTCCGGTGTGCGAAGCTGAGCTTTGTCCGGGCGGGCAATGAGGGGAGCCATTGTCGACAAATAGTGACTCAGTAAACGTGTGTCAGCTAGTGCCGACGGGACAGAACTTCCTTACCCACCGTGGTGCCTAACCACTGCGGTAACCTCCGGGCATCAATTGCAACTTCTCACGCCTGGGCAGGCGTGAACCGCCGACCTCGGATGAGAATTCTTTCTGTCCCTTTACATGCAGTACCTGGTGTCTATGATGAAAATTGATATAAGTAAATAAGTATTATCGCCCTACTTCACTTTCATTACCATAAATATACTTTATTGTTAATATCTGAATTTTTTATTTCAAGCTACCCACAGTATGTAGACTGGCCACTGTTCTAATAATAGTCAACCTTACATTTTATTTCACAGCAGTGCTAGAGATAATCTCTTACATTATCAACTGTTCACAGTATGAGGGTTGGCACCTTTCATCTTCAGTCTCGTTTACATGGACAATATCACTTTCTGATTTATGCTACCTGTGTAACCCCGGAGATGTTCATACACAAATAAAAAAAAACTGTCATTATCAGGTTCATTGTGATCACGTCGCTTCAGCATCTTTCTATTAACCTTGCTTCCACGTTGGCCAAAACGCGCAAAGTATTTTTGTCACCCTCACCGAGTACGAGACGGAACCACTAGCTACAGGAGTCAAGGCATCAGTTATTTGAATAAGAACATACGGCTGCCTCTCCGAGCGGCTCATGTATATGATATTCATAGCACTGAGGGATAATGTAAAATTTGAGAGTGTGGGGGATAATAAAGATGATAGCGACAATTATAGTAAAAACAAACATTAAATGAGCTCGCATCACGCAATTAAATTCAGTTTTCCGGACCATATCGGTCTATTCAATCGATTTCTGACCTTTGACACCGAGGAATGCCACAATGCTTACCACCGACCTTTTAGGTGTCCTAAAAGGTTTTACATGACAAATACTTAATTTTGTGTTTGTATCTTCATACACACACGCACACATATATATGTGTGTGTGTGATATCAATATCACAATAAGATATATCATAAAGTTTGCCTAATGAAAGTCAGCAAAATTGTGATTCAGCTTTCTTATAAACAAATTTATCTATCTCGCAGAAACCCGATTCAAAATCGACCCACCCTTATATACACTCGTATGCACTCCAACGACATGCCTTCTGCTTTAGAAGGTCCAGAGATCCCTTAGAGCAGTGATTTTTAGCCTGGGAGGTGTCCCCCCTAAGAGGGCTTTAGTAATTTCAAAGGGAGCGCGAGCCCTTGAGAAAAAGCAGGAATTCCTCTCTTGTTAAATACTGAGAAATATGATAAAATCCCACAGGAGGCTTGGTAATAAATAGGTTAAGAACTACTGCCTTACAGGCTGTGAGTGCAGAAAAAATGCCAGAAATTACGAGATAACCATTGTCTATCTTAAGGTCTCCACGAGCATGCTTTAAAATGATTGTATCGAGACACAGGCACAGGCTCATAAGATTCTTCATATCAGTGTTCTTAAAATTTCTCTTACCAGTAACTTTTCTAAAATTATTCAGACTTGACCCACAAACACCAAAGTCGTGTTTACTTTTGGGAATCCGTAATTTCAAACCTCCCAGTATACATGGACCTTTTGTGATCAAGGACCAAGGCAAACTTATACCACTGAGAGGCAGGTGGGATTGTCAACATCTAACACAGCGAATGCTAGTTTTAGGATATCTGTATTTTCCATTTAAAGAATCTTTAATACCCAACGTTCATGAACGTCCAAAGTTGTCTATTGGAGTTATCTTCACTTACTGTGCCTGAAGAGCGGTCACGTTCAACGCAGTCACTAGACTGATAGTCCGTACAACAAGTGTTTAGCAACTTTTTCTTCACGACCCAGTTTGTTTCATGAATTGCCGTGACAAACAAGTCAATAGTTTTTACACCTTTCTATGCAACATGAAGAACGCATTATGTGATATTATCATTCTCATACAGTGATATATATATATATATATATATATATATATATATATATATATATATATATATATATATATATATATATATTTAAGTTTACGAGAGCAAAAACATACTCTCATGTTTATGTTGAAAACAGATACATGGAAAGCTATGTCAAACTAGTACATGAGACAAAGTTCAAAACATTATCCGCTATCTGGATATGATAATCTTTTGCTGAACTTGATTGACTTGACAGTGTGGCCTCCTAACCGCCTCAGTCCTGCCTCATCCAGTATGGGTTTCAGCCAGTACTACATGAATATTCATACATATGGACGCAGATAGACAAACAAGTAAATGCGTCACTATCTCTATATATCTGCCTATATACACACACACATATGTCTGTGTGTGTGTGCACATATATATGTGTGTATACATACACACAAATATATGACACACACACACACCACACACACACACACACACACACACACACACACACACACACACACACACACACACACACACACACACACACACACACACACAGATAGATAGATGCGTTATTTCTGTGCATGTAGACGCCCATTAGTATGCGGCGTCGGGCCCCTCGCAAATATTACAAACGAGCCATACATCTTGTTCCATTTTCAGAGCGCATGACGCTCTTTGCCGTGGTATGGTATGGCATCACAATGCTCAGCTGTGTCTTTCCGAGTCTCATGTATATATGTATCCTCTATCAAGACATTGTCAAATATGTTAAATCTGACGTATTTACCAACGTGCAGTATTGTCGAAGGAGGAATAAGTCGCATGATAGATAACATAAACATAAACATTGTCTGGCTCTTTTCCTGCTATTCAGACTAGAGAGCATGAACTTTTATCGCACAGATTTA